CCTACTACCACAGGACGGTAGTGCCTCCCTGGGTGGTTGCTGTCTACCAACCTACTACCACAGGACGGTAGTACCTCCCTGGGTGGTTGCTGTCTACCACCTACTACCACAGGATGGTAGTACCTCCCTGGGTGGTTGCTGTCTACCAACCTACTACCACAGGACGGTAGTGCCTCCCTGGGTGGTTGCTGTCTACCAACCTACTACCACAGGACGGTAGTGCCTCCCTGGGTGGTTGCTGTCTACCAACCTACTTCCACAGGACGGTAGTGCCTCCCTGGGTGGTTGCAGTCTACAAACCTACTACCACAGGAAAGGGACTGCCTCCCTGGGTGGTTTCTGTCTACCAACCTACTACCACAGGACGGTAGTACCTCCCTGGGTTGTTGCTATCTACCAACCTACTACCACAGGACGGTAGTGCCTCCCTGGGCTGTTGCTGTCTACCAACCCACTACCACAGGACGGTAGTGCCTCCCTGGGTGGTTGCTGTCTACCAACCTACTACCACAGGACGGTAGTACCTCCCTGGGTGGTTGCTGTCTACCAACCTACTACCACAGGCGGTTGTTGCCTCCCTGGGTGGTTGCTGTCTACCAACCTACTACCACAGGACGGTAGTACCTCCCTGGGTGGTTTTCTGTCTACCAACCTACTACCACAGGACGGTTAGTGCCTCCTGGGGGGGGTTGCTGTCTACCAACCAACTACCACAGGACGGTAGTACCTCCCTGGGTGGTTGATGTCTACCAACCTACTACCACAGGACGGTAGTACCTCCCTGGGTGGTTGCTGTCTACCAACCCACTACCACAGGACGGTAGTGCCTCCCTGGGCGGTTGCTGTCTACCAACCTACTACCACAGGACGGTTAGTACCTCCCCGGGCGGCTGCTGTCTACCAACCTACTACCACAGGACGGTAGTGCCTCCCTGGGTGGTTGCTGTCTACCAACCTACTACCGCAGGACGGTAGTACCTCCCTGGACTGCTGCTGTCTACCAACCTACTACCACAGGACTGTAGTACCTCCCTGGGTGGTTGCTGTCTACCAACCTACTACCACATGACGGAAGTACCTCCCTGGGTGGTTGCTGTATACCAACCTACTACCACAGAATGGTAGTACCTCCCTGGGCGGTTGCTGTCTACCAACCTGCCACCACAGGACGGTATTACCTCGCTGGGTGGTTCCTGTCTACCAACCTACTACCACAGGACTGTAGTACCTCCCTGGGTGGCTGATGTCTACCTACCTACTACCACAGGAGGGTAGTACCTCCCTGGGCGGCTGCTGTCTACCAACCTACTACAACAGGAAGGCAGTACCTCCCTGGGCGGTTGCTGTCTACCAACCTACTACCACAGGACGGTAGTACCTACCTGGGCGGCTGCTGTCTACCAACCTACAACCACAGAATGGTAGTACCTCCCTGGGCGGTTGCTGTCTACCAACCTGCTACCACAGGACGGTATTACCTCCCTGGGTGGTTGCTGTCTACCAACCTACTACCACAGGACGGTAGTACCTCCCTGGGCGGTTGCTGTCTACCAACCTGCTGGCACAGGACGGTAGTATCTCCCTGAGTGGTTTACTGTTACCCAAACCCACTTTCCACAGGACGGTAGTACCTCCCTGGGCGGTTGCTGTCTACCAACCTGCTACCACAGGACGGTATTACCTCCCTGGGTGGTTGCTGTCTACCAACCTACTACCACAGGACGGTAGTACCTCCCTGGGCGGTTGCTGTCTACCAAACCCGCACCCCCAGGTGGTAGTACCTCCCTGGGTGGTGCTGTCTACCAACCTACTACCACAGGACGGTAGTTACCTCCCTGGGTGGTTTCTGTCTACCAACGTATACCACACGGGGTAAATACCTCCCTGGGTGCTTGCTGTCTACCAACCCACTACCCCTGACGGTAGTACCTCCCTGGGTGGTTGCCCGTCTACCAACTTACTACCACAGGACAGTAGTACCTCCCTGGGCGGTTGCTGTTACCCAAACCCACTACCACAGGACGGTAGTACCTCCCTGGGTGGTTGCTGTCTACCAACCTTCTACAACAGGACGGTAGTACCTCCCTGGGCGGTTGGTGTCTACCAACCTGCTACCACAGGACGGTAGTACCTCCCTGGGTGGTTGCTGTCTACCAACCTGTTACCACAGGACGGTAGTACCTCCCTGGGTGGTTGCTGTCTACCAACCTACTACCACATGACGGTAGTACCTCCCTGGGCGGTTGCTGTCTACCAACCTACTACCACAGGACGGTAGTACCTCCCTGGGTGGTTCCTGTCAACCAAACTACTACCACAGGACGGTAGTACCTCCCTGGGCGGCAGCTGTCTACCAACCTACTACCACTGGACGGTAGTACCTCCCTGGGCGGTTGCTGTCTACCAAGCTACTACCACAGGGCGGTATTACCTCCCTGGGTGGTTGCTGTCTACCAACCTACTACCACAGGACGGTAGTACCTCCCTGGGTGGTTGCTGT